TCCTTTGAAACTGTAATACATGGTTTTATATGGGAATTGAAGTATAAAGGAAGTGTTCTAGTGAAATTATGGAGCTGTCAGCTTTACATAATAACTGACAAGTCTTTAAAAATTAAGTTTCCCATGTAATGTTCATCCTTCATGTCCCTTAATCTTTTCTGCTCATTCTGTGACAAATATGAAAGCAGCTGAAGGAAACACATAGCCCGGAGTGGTTGACAAAAATTGTAACAGCATCCTGAGCATGCACACAGGTTCTCAGCTTGAGCCAGGGTTGCGGTAGAAGAAGAAAAGGCTGGAGTTCAGGGTTACTCGGTAAGGAGATAGAAACTTCCAAAGGTTCAGGCATTACCCTGAGCTGCTGTTCTCAGATTTGGGAGAAGCTGGGTGGCTTCTCTGGCTGTCAACTGTGCTTTTGCCCTTCCCTTGCTGAGGTGTTTGTTCAGTGCTGGTGTGTAGCGGCGTTTCCCTGGTATTATGGCATTCCTGCAGGTATTACGTTCCTGAGATCTGGAGGAAGCAGTGAAATAGTTTCTAAAGGAGGTATGTGCTGTGTTGACAGAAGTTTCTGTCCAGCCCGGTCCTGCTGCCCTTCAGTCTCAAATAAAAACACAGACGTTTATATTAATTATAAACTGTTTGGCCAATGGCTCAGGTTTCTTATTGGCTAGCTCTCTCTTAATTATTAACCCATTTCTATTAATCTGTGTATCTCCACATGGTCTTGGCTTACTGGTGATGCCTGAGCTTCTTGCTTTCTTGGCAGCTACATGGCATCTCTCTGGCGACTCACTCTCTGCATTTCTTTTCCCAGAATTCTCCTAGTCGGATAGCCCCACCTATACTTCCTGCTGGCTACATCCTGCCTGTCCATTGGCTGAAACAGATTTATTCCTCAACCAATAAGAGAAGCATATATTCACAGCATACAGAAGGACACCCCCCCCATCAGTGCTGTGAAGTTTTTATGTACAATTTGATGTGTCCCCCCCCACCCCCATGATGTTCTGCCCACATAGAATTTAGCATGGGAAAAATTGAACCTAAAAGCCTGTGATGGCATTTAAGAGACGGTCGTACTTGGATTGAAGGATGATGCCCATCAATAGGAATTGATTTCTGGCTTTGTTTTCTCTTGACTTTGTAGAACTCTGTCTCCTTCAGAAGCAAATCTGACTTGGAGAGTGTGGCTCAGGGAGGTGGAACTGAGTGTGTGTTCTGTTGTTGAAGCGCACTGAGCCCTTACTTCCACTGTTTTCATGACCTGGACAGGAAGATGCGGAGAAAACACTGCCCTCACCCGTTAGCCTGCAAAGCAGTGTTAGCCGTTGTTTTCCAAGGGAATACAAAGGAGAGAAGAGTTCCATACTGCAGGATTGGCACCAGTAAGGGGCCCTGCTCCTTATCAGAAGCCTGAAATTGTCTAGGTTGTTTAGAAGCTGTGATTAATGTCGTGGGTAAAGAGTTTAATAACTGTTTTAAACATAAGAAGTGAGTGTAGTTCCTGCATGCTGTATTCCCCATGGACCGCTAAGCCCCTTGTTGCTCCTACACTCAGGTTCCTTATTCCTAGCCTATTCTGGCTGATCTAACATCTGCTGGTACTTCTTCCTTGACTCCTTCAGGTCTTCCATGAGGTTGAGCTGTCGTTTCCCCCTCCTACACCCATCCCTTTCTCTCAGTCCCCATGTCCCCAGCTTCATCCTTTCACCTTTGGAAATGGTGAGAAATAGCCTGGTCTACAGAACAAGTTCCAAGACAGCCAGAGCTACAGAGAAACCCTGTCTCAAAAAAACAAACAAACAAAAAACAAGCTGGGCGGTGGAGGCACTCGCCTTTAATCCCAGTACTTGGGATGCAGAGGCAGGTTGATCTCTGTGAGTTTGAGACCAAGCCTGGTCTACAAAGAGAGTTCCAGGATAGGCTCCAAAGCTACACAGGGAAAGAAACCCTGTTTTGAAAAACCAAAAAAAGAAAAAAAAAAGTGAAACGTAGTATCAGGCGCAGCATGCTGGGATTCAGCTGAACACAAAGCTGGGCGGTGCTTACTTGTTAATGAGGAAAGCTAGTGATTGTGTTGCTATTGGCATGATGTAGTTTAGGGACCAGGAGAGACAGATAAACCAATTCATGATGAGGAGATAAAAAGAATCTGGGAAGGTTTTTAGTCAGCAAGCAATCTTTGGAAGTCACAGTATCCCACTGTTTTACGTCAGAACATTTGGACTCAGGATGTTCTGTTTTCACTTTCTGTGTGGTATTGGGGTTGACCGAGGATCTTGTAGATGCTAGAAAGACACTGTGCTGTCCAGCTATATGCTCAACCTTGTGAGCAGGTGTAAAGTGAAGCCTTCCCGCCAGCCTGGTTCCAGAGCCGCATCAGTCCCAAATAAACACACAGGAGGCTATATTAATTATGAAGCTGTTGGCCTTGCTTGTTTCTTACTGGCTAGCTCTGACTTAAGTATTTATCCCATAATTGTTAATCTAAGTATTTTCTCTTACCGGAAAAGTTTCCGGGCTTCTTATCCCTATGGCGGTTACATCTTGATTCCCTGTGTTTCTCCTACCCAGAGTCCTCCTGGACTCCTAGTCCCACCTATCTTGCTTCCCTATTGGCCAACAGTGCTTTATTGACATATACACAGGAATTACCCCATCAAGCAGGTAAAGCTTCTTTCCCTGCCCCTAAATCATGACCCTTGCACTGCATTTGGGGGCTTGCTTAGTTCTTGTTTTCCATTTCCATACTAGAGTCCAGATTGGCCTCAAACTCACAATCTTCTTGACTTAGCCTCCTGATTGCTAGGATTACAGGTGTGTGCCATCATGTCTCTCCTAAAAAGCACTGGCAATAACTAGCCATCTTCTTATGAAAAGCCTTTTAAATGGTTGCTGGAGAAGCACCTTTCGAGGCTAACGAGAACCAAAGCCCAGTGTCCTCACTACTATCCACCTGAAATTGCGTGTCCAGAAAACCCCACACATGGCCTTCTAGAATAGAGCTTCTTGCTCTACCTGGGTCGGAATCCTGCAGTTCGGAGAGGGACTGAGGGTTTTGCACTTTTTAAGGAAGCTTCCAGACAATGCCGATAGCTGTTGAAAAATGTAACGTGCCGAGATGGCAAGTCTAGAGGGTCAAAAGAGTAAGGAACGGAGGTGGAGGCAGGCGGGGCTGCCGTGGGACTCAGCCTGGTGGCCTGGTGTACACTGAGACTGCCTTTGGTTACCTGCACAGCCAATCCCCACCCCAGAGGTGAAGGCACGCTCTCTTCTGTCTGTGTGGACAGGCACTCTGCTCTACATCTTGTTTACTTTTAATAATTTTTGCCAATGCTAATCAAAAACTAATAACCCAACTGAACTGACTCTTGGCCCTGCTCCTGGGAACAGCTAATTTTGTCAGTGATCTGCCTGGAAAATCCCTACCTCTCTCCCACCCCAGGATGTGAGTCTCCTGCTTGTCCAGGCCACCTATGATAAAGGTGTGCACCCACCCAGTTGAGTGATAAGAGGCCCTGGCCACTGAGTAACAGGAAGCCAAGTGGTTGGTGGTAGGAGGCGTTCCTTTTGGCATTTTGCCTAGATCCAACTAGTTTGTGTAGCTTTGAACTGCAGGAATGGTTTCTGAGTCCGTTGTTCTGCAGTGTAATCAGGACCTGGCAGAAAAAACGCACCCTTCACTCTTAAGATTCACATTAGAAATTCTTATAATTTGGAACTCTAGCTGTTGAATGACCTGCCTGTGAGCTGCAAAAGAGCCACAGCAGGAATGGAATGCAAATTTCTCTTCTGCTGGAGTGTTTTTCCTGATGATTTTCTTTGGATCTCTTAGTGGATGCTCTGGTAGACTTATTGCTGACGAGCATCAGAAAAGCAGTTTGTTGGTTGCTGAGACAGTTTCACACTATGCCTCAACTCATGGTCATCCTCTTATTTGGAGCCTCAGATGTTGGGTTTATACCCAGCCTGGCTCAGATAGGCAGTTTTTAAAAGCTTTTGTTTCTGAGTGTGTACATCCTATGCTGGAATGGTTCCCATCATCTGCCCGGGGAACTGTACTGTGGAATTCCCCTTGCAGAATGGACCGAAACAGTGGCTGTTTGCTGCATGAGATCTGTCTCTGTACGCACTGCAAAGCCTTGGCGAGGCCAGGCTGACAAAGAAGAGCTGATAAATGGTCTGGAAGTGCTTTTCTAACTTGAAGCTGAGTCATAGCTACCTGGAGGGAGGCTTGTTTAAATGCCCTTTTTAGATCGCTGGGCTCTGCATCCTTAGCGTTTCTGTTTCTGTATGATGTTGGGTGGGGCTTGACACTCTCTAGGTCCACTGTCCTGTCTACATCTTGAACTGCAGGTACACATCAGTGACGAGGGTGGTGGGCACGGGCTGCACTGTTGTACACTAGGGTGTACTGTTGTAACTAGGGAGTACAGTTGTACAGTAGGGTATACTGTGTGACTAGGGCATCCTGTTGTGCATTAGGGTGTACTGTTGTAACTTGTGTGGTGGGCATGTACTCATCATTACTCCTGTACTGTTGAATGATTGGACACATACTGTCAGTAGCTCCCAAGCTTACAGATTTGGCATTTTGTTGTTGTTTTTAAATATCAAGGCAGAAGTTCTCAACAATATCCAGTATACTATATGTCCCTATAAGTCCTCCTGGTTTATACTAAGAGTCAGTACAGACTCAGCCTTCTAGAGAAAGGACATGGGAAAACAGAATGGGGACAGCTGGGAGGAAATTGCTTCCCAGTCACCTTCCTATTATCATTTGAAGTTGGACTAAAGTTGAACTTTAAACACAGAACAAATTTGAGTTTCTAACAGCTGAGTTGGGGAAAGGAAAGGCAGGGTTTGGCTTGCCTGGCTTTTCCATGCCTTGGAATCCCTTAGGTGCGGTCTCACATGTCTAAGATCAGGTAATTGATTCTAGTTTGGTTTGCTAGCCCTTCTTTTGTTGAAGGTACTAATGGGTATCTCTGTTGATGCAGGTCTGGAATCTCACAGGAGGGGCAAGATGATCTCCATCTTGGTCTTAGTGACCTGCCCTCTGATGAGGAAGTCGTCAATAGTTCTGATGAAGATGATGTCAGCTCTGAGTCCAGTAAAGGAGAGCCAGACCCGCTGGAAGATAAACAGGTATATTTTGGCAATTAATTATTTCTGCTTTTGTTTTTCTTGGCCTGCCACTGTGCATGGGAATGCTATTTATCATACCGATAGGAAAACAAGAGTAACAAACCTATGAGTTAGCCTGGAAATGCTTTTCAAGTGTAAGTCTTATTCCTGCTGTAATATAGTACCTGTAATGGTATATATCCAACAGTGTATCACCTAAGGATTATTTCGTTTTTAGGAAATTATTTTACTAATGTCCACTGTCTTTTTATTTGTGCATGTATGTATGTGTATTTAAAATTACGTAGTTGTGTCTGGATCATGAATCTCTCTTAGGGATTGTTCCTGTCCCGCCACTAATTCTTACATTTCTTTGTTGTGGGTCTTGTTTGGTTTTGTTTTATGTGCATGGCTGTTTTGTCTGTATGTTCGTCTTAGATATCTTGGAGCTTGAGTTACAGACAGTTGTGAGCTGCTGTGTGGGTGCTGTGACTTTAACCTGGGTTTTTTGGAAGAACAGCCAGTGTTCTTAAACACTGAGCCAACTCTCTAGCTCATTGTTTTTTGTTTTTGAGACAGTGTAACCTAGTCTGGCATTGAATTATAGCAGTCTTTCTGCCTCAACCTTTTTAGTGCTGAGATTATAGGCATGAGCCACCACAGCCAGCGGAGTTCTCTTGAAGGGGCATTATATGCATTTGGGACTTGATCGCACCTTTAGAATTTTAAAAATAAGTTTATTGTGTGTGGGGTGGGGGAGAAAATTGGAGCGAGCATGCTTTTGGGCTGTGGTACACGTGTGGATGTCAGTATACAACTTGCAGGGGTCAGTCCTCTCCTACTGTGTGGCTTGCAGGTTCAAACTCAGGTTTTCAGGCTTATGGCAAGCGTCTTTAACCACTGAGCCATCTCACTGCCCTGATCCTGTCTTTTTAAGGTCAGGACAAAGATTGCTGTTTGTACTAGTTATTTCTCACATTGCTGTAGCAACATAACTGATAAGAAACAAACTTAAGGGAAGAAGGGTTATTTTGACCCTTGTGTCCCAGAAGTCATGGCAGTAGGAGCACGAGGCACAGAGTGCCTAATGCTGGTTCCCAGCTTGCTTTCCCCTTGTATTCAGTCCAGGACTCCAGCCCATGGCATGGTGCCACCTACCTACGGTCAGGGTGGGTCAGTCACCTAATGGAGGTCGTCTTAGCTAGGGTTACTACTGCTTCCATGAAACACTATGCCCAAAAGCAACTTAGGAAGGAAAGACTTTTTTGGTTTACATATCCAGAATCACAGTCCAATGAGGAAAGTCAAGTCAGGAACTCAAACTTGGAGGCAGGAGCTGCTGGGGAGACTATGGAGGAGGACTGTTTACTGGCTTGCTCAGCCTTTCCTATAGAACCCAAGACCACCAGCCCAGGGATGGCACCACCCGCAATGGCTTAGGCCCTCCCTCGGCAATCACTAATTAAGAAAATGTCATACAGGCTTGCTTACTGCCCATTTTTATGGAGGCATTTTCTCAGTTGAGGGTCCTTCCTCTCAGATGACTCTGGCTTGTGTCAAGTTGACATAAAGCCAGCCAGCACAAGGATATTCCTTCATAGCCTTCATAGCTGTGCCCCGAAGCTTGTCTCTTGTGTTGTTACAGATCCTGGCAAGTTGACAATGAGTGTTACTAATGTAGTAATCATTTTCTTAAAATAATCTAGTATGTATATATGTTATGTATTCATTGGGGTGTGTGTGTGTGTTTGGGAGACATGACGATTGCCCATACTTTCATAAAGGTTTGGGATATTTGATAGGGAAATTAATTGTACTATTTTAGTTTATTATAATCATCTGTATGTTTCATTTGAAATAACATTTCTTTGAATAAATATATTATGAAAGGGGAGAAAATTAGCATAGCAGCAATTCCTCATGCTGTATTGGAGTGTTACAGAATGGAATTTTAAAGGACCCTCACAATATAACAAACCAAGGAGGAAACCCCTGTCCCCCGAGTCCTCGGCATATTTTACTAATTATTATGCCTCTGCTTAACATGTTGTTGCTCTGTTTAAATATGCTCCTACCTTCTAATGAATGTCACAGCATGGCTATCTAAAATTGAGTCCCAGGGCTGGAAGCTGGCTCAGTAGCTCAGGTGCCCAGTACCCTCATAATGGTTCCCAACTGTCTATAACTCCAGTTCCAATGAATCTGATACCCTCTTCTGGTCTTATCTTATGGTGTATATACATACATGCAAGTAAAAAACACATAAACACATAAGTAAATATAAAAAAAATAGTTACCAACTATGGTTTTTGTAACTTGAAACTAATTACTTAATCTTTTTGGTTTAAAGAATGCCACTTTGTAAATGAAGACAAAATATTTCTTATAAATGATTTGATATATGAAAAAAGTTAGAGTATTATCCAGTTTGGGGTTCGAGCTCAATGATTTTGTTTTTTGCTGATGAGACTTAATTTCTGAACTGGGTATGGCAGCACACATTTGTAATTTTAACAGTTGGGGGGCTGAGGTAGGAGGATCGGCATGAGTTCAAGGCTGTCTGGGGTTAAATAGTAACTATCAGATTGGTGTAGGTTATAGAATAAGATAGTGTCTCAAGCAGATACCCCAGAGATTATCCACATGCATGCACGCACACGGTCTCAAAAAACCATCAGGCACTCCACACACACACATACCCCACCCCCTGCCTCGCAGGATTAAGTATCAGAGGAAGTTGTTGGAAATAGTCACTAAAACTTATTTAGGCAGGGGGTTCTGTAAAGCTCCTGAGAGCTGAGTGACTGTAAGATACATTTAGCAGTCTGAGGCGTTTGTGTGACTGGAATGGCATGCCCCTCTCTGCCGTATTCACACCTTTCACAATCTAGTTTGCAAGCTCGTTTTCTGTGTTGCTGTTTCTTGATACAGATCCTGCAGTATGTCAAGGTTACCCGTCAGGTCCCAGGTAGTGTCAGTGTTTGTTAGACATTAGCAGTGACCTTGGCCCTTGCTTTTGTGGTGTGCCCATCCCAATGGAGGAGGAAGAGGGACCAAACTCCATAAACAGGAAGAAGCTGAGAGTGTTTCCAGGCTGCGAAGGGAACATCACAGTGATGTGCTGGAAGCTGCAGTGACTACTTTGGCTGAAAGCCTCTGAGAAAGTGATATTTGACTAGAATTTAAATGAGTGCAAAGAGCCAGAGCCTGTGGAGAGCTTGAGAAGGAACATTCAGATGGTATTGTGTGAGAGCCATAATTAAAACCGAGCTTTACTCTCTTCCTTCCCCTGCCTCATGCTGTTTCTGGGCTGTTCTTTTCACTTGAACCTTGTCCACTTCCCTCTATACTGAAGTGGTGACCGCAGCTGTCTCCACATGGCACTGCGATCCGACTGCTGCACCGTGTAAAGGAAGGCCCCGCTGTGTTCCATGATTCTTTCCAGCATTGTGTTCTGTCACTGCCTGCTTCACCCCTGCATTTTGTGGTCAGTGGAGACGCTAAGTGTAGTAGGTCTTTCTCCGTCCGACTTTCTTTTGGCATCCCCACCCCCACATAATGACATGGAGAAGAGACTTACTATTAATTGTGAAAGCTTGACCTTTACCTTAGGCTTGTTCACAACCAGCTCTTATAACTAAACCAACCAGTTTCTATCAATCTACATGTGGCTCTTTACCTCTGCTCCATTCTGCATATCCGATTCTCTCTGTGTCTGGTTGGTGTCTCCTGTGTGCCTAGATTCAGTCCCTCAGTTCCTCTCTCTGCCCGGAAGTCCCACCTAATCTCTCCTGCCTACCTATTGGCTGTTCAGCTTTTTATTAAACCAACCACAGGGACACATCTTCACACAGTGTACAAATATCCCTCAACACCTAAGGTGCCTTCGTCTGTCTTTGTGCCTGCCTCTCTTTCCCTTTTGGGTCAGGTTACTATATGCCTGCTTGGTAAATCTTCATCTTTTCTTAACGCGTGGGTGTGGGTGTGTGCCATGTGCGTGACCGTGTGCATGTGCTAGCACACATTTGTAGAGCTCAGCACAGTTGGTGTGAGCCAGTTCTCTCCGCTCCTGTGTGGATTTCAGGGATTGGAATCCACTCTTTAGGTTTACTCGATAAGTACCTTTACACACTGAGACAGCTCACTGCTCCCTTCCCCCTTTAATGGGACTTCTTTTCACTTAATTGTGCACATGTAATATTTTTTTTTGCACCTTGTACCACTAGCATCAATAATAGGCGCACGCCTTTAATCCCAGCACTCGGGAGGCAGAGGCAGGCAGATCTCTGTGAGTTCGAGGCCAGGCTAGACCGACAGCCTCCAAAACAGAGAAACCCTGTCTCGTAAAAAACCAAAAAAAAAAAAAAATATCTTCCTTTAGAATGCATAGCTGCTCTGAGGAACTTGTATTGTGTCTTTTCATCTGGAACAACAGCAGAGGTAGACTATATTAGCTCCTCTTCTAGACAGCTGTTAACCTGACTAATTGTAGCCTAGTGAAGGTTTTTAAGGAGTGGTTTGTGGTTAGGAGAACACAATCTTTGGCGCCTTCCTTTACACGGTGCAGCAGTTGGATGTCCAGTGCCGTGTGGAGACAGCTGAGGTTACCACTTCAGTATAGATAGAAGCTGGACAAGAACAGGCCAGAAACAGCATGAGGCAGGGGTAGGGAGAGAGTAAAGCTCAATTTAAATTATGGCTCTCACACAATACTATTTCAAAATCTCAAGCTCTGTGATTTTGAACAACTTAATCCTTTAATCCTCTGTTTCCATCTCTGAAAAACAAAAAGAAGTAGACCATAGGGTTGATGTTGCCCTTATTTCAAGGATTGTTGTGATGGAATGATAGCACTGCTGTGAGCAGTGTCTTGTGGTGAAATTTTGTTTATGATATAACAAATAAAGCTTGACTGAAGTTCAGAGTGTGGAGCTAGCCATAGAGGCCAGGTAGTGGTGGCACACACTTTTAATCCCAGCAGCCACACTAGTTAGCCATAGAGTGGTGGTACAGACCTTTAATCCCAACACCCGGGAGACAGAGGCAAACAGATCTCTGTTAGTAACCACCCTGAGCTACAGGAAATTGATCCAGACTAAAAGAGAAACAGAACTCACACAAAGGTGATCCCAGCACTAGGGAGATGGAGATAGGAGTGGTAATGGCTGGGCAGAGGGAGGATTATAAAGTGGGAGAAGACAAGAGAGACATGCAGTCCTGGGCATTCTGAGGTTTGGTGGAGAGCAGAGCAATCTAGGATCACCCCTTCAGTGTGAGCATTGGTAGAGGTAAGAACCCTCTCTTGACTGGCCGCTTTGCGTCTCTGAACTTCAGCTTTAACCCCAATATCTGTCTCTGGGTTTTTCTTATTCGTGCTACAATGTCTGGCACAGAGTGAGTGCACAACAGATTTTTTAGTTATTCCTGGTTATGTACAGCAAGGGAAATCTCAAACATCTCATAGCCAGGATTCTGCCCATGAACGATTACTATCTCACGTGTGCCCTGTCTTTGCTGAGTAAGGAAGCAGTGCTCTTACATTCAGGGTACTGTTGTGCTTCCTTGGGGAAGACTGTGCTGCAGACTTAACTCTGCTATGCTGGATGGCCTTGAACAAATAGTCACTTTCAATCAGGTTCATTGGCACATGCCTGTAATCCCAGCCCCTGGGAGGCAAAGACAGCAGTGTTGACATGAGTTCAAAGCCAGCCTGTTCTACATAGGGAGTTCCAGGCCAGCCAGGACAGTGTAACTACACCCCAACTGAAAAATAGCAACAAAAGGATTGGTGAGAATGTGGAGGATTTAAAAGGTGAAGAAGGACTTTGAGAAATAGTTGCCATTCTTCAAAAGCTTAACCGTAGTCATCACGTGGCCCAGAAGTGCTTATCCAAGAGTAATGAAATATATATCTATGCAAAAGCTTGTATTTATGTCATCATTGTTCATAATTGAAGGGTCTCAGGTTCCGGGAGTTTAAGGGGCCACTAAGCTGGGTTGTTGGGAGCAATTAGTTGATTAGAAGAATTACTGATGCCATGAGGAGACAGACAGATAACAGCCTGGTGGGGGCTCTGAGGAGCGTGTATGCCCTTGTGACAGACAGCATCATGGGGCCCCTGAGGAGAGGAAATTAGGACCCCTGGCAAAGTGACCTGAGAAGGGGGGTGGCTTCACAGCACAAGCCTGCAGTCAGGCTCTCTGAGTCCTGGGGGGGAGGAGGGAGGGACGGGGACAGGATGTGTGGTCACCAGTACCCTCTTTGGTACAGACTTGCTCCCAGGTGAGATGATCAGGTCTGTTAGCTAGAGAGTCACAGTGACTTAGTAGAGCATCTGTCGGTATCTGAGAGGGGAATGGCTGCTGCAGACACTGTGGCCTGAGCAGCAGCTCGATTCTAGCACTACATTATCATAGTAGTGACCAAACAAGAGAATCTAAATGCTCATCAACTGAAAACTGAAAAGGTTAAAGTGTCATCTCTCTACACAGTGGAATAGCTTTTGGCCATAAGAAGGAATGGAGAGTGTCTAGTAACTGATGGCCACAGAGATTTTTGGAGAGATAAAGAAGTGTTCTGAATTTAGATTGGGATGATGGCTGGATAGCCCTGAATTCACTAAGAACCATTGAACTATTTAGAGAGTAAAAAAAAAAAATCACGTTTTATGGCATATAAAAACAGCTTGATGTCATGGTGTTTACCTTTAATCCCTGCACTTGGGAGGCAGAAAGAGGCAAAGCTCTGTGGGTCTGCGGCCAGGCAGGATCGGCAAGCGAGAAGCTGCCTCAAACAACACCAACAACCAAAACTTCCCACAGACTCTATCATGTGTACTGTCTTTGATTCATATGAAATGCAGGGATTTTAGAAAGACTGTGTAACCTGCTTGAAAACCCCTGATTTGGATTTTGTAATTACAGTCCGTTTCTGCTAACAAATTGGCTGCTACATCATTCACAGAAGCTAAATGGTATCCATAGAAGTTGTTTTGAGGAGAGTAATAGGCCACGGAAATCTTTATTAATTCCATTTGGAGATTCGTGTGTGTGTGTGTGTGTGTGTGTGTGTGTGTGTGTGGGTGGGTGGGTGGGTGGGTGGAGGGGGCAATGTTAAACAGGTATTTGTGTGTGAGCATGTACACATAGAGGCCAAGGGTTGTTGTCAGGTGGCTTCCTCTGTTTTCTTCCACCTGATGTTTTTCCATAGGAGCTCTTCCTGAGTCTGGGGCTCACCACTTCAGCAAGAGGAGTGTCTGCTGTCTTGCCCAGCTTTTTATGTTGGTACTGGGGATCTGAACTCATGTCCTTGTCCTTGTGTGACAAGCAGTTTACCCTTTGAGCCATCTCTCTAGCTTCCTTGGAAGTTGTTTAGATTTTAGTTCATTGTTTTTTCAGTTTGTAATAAATGTTTGTTTTCAAATGTGTTGGGCAAAGTGGCTCATACCCATTTAGCATTTGGAAGGCAGACAGGTGGATTCTTGCAATTTGAGGCCATCTTTTTCTACATAGTAAATCTCAAGCCAGCCAAGGCAATTTAGTGAAACTTAGTCTTAAGAAATTAATTTTAAAAAAGTGTATTCATTTTGTTTCTTTGTGGTTAGAAATTAATTCACTCTGTAGCTTCTCTGAATATTTATTTCTCTGTTCCTTTTCAAATATTCTGAAAGTGGCTCATGATTATTTCCTTGTGAAGAGACGGATGGTCTGGGAAGGACAATGCCCTGTAGGGTAACATCATGATATCACCTCACCTTCGACATAAAAATGATTAAGAGCTGTGTCTTGGGCAGATCTTCCTGTTAACATTCTCTTGCAAGTAGTACTCTTGTTATGATAGGGAAGACCTCTTAGGTAGTATTAAACTCACTGGGGAAATGTCATTGGACATCACTGGTACTGAGCAACTAGGAAATGAAGAGAACACTCTTAAGAATTTACAAGCTGGACTGTTAGCAAAGGATCAGAGCATATCACTGCATTTCAGGTCAAAGGTTCTGTTTGGAATTTGTGTGACTTATTTTATGACCTTTGACAATGTGTTTGCATTTGTCTGTGGCTAGTGTTTTGACTTGCATACACTTTGCTTTGGGGAGATGTTATTTAAGAGGCAGTCTGCTTTGAAATGTGATGCAGTTTCATTAGCTGAGAAGTCTGAGATGCCAAACACAGCCTCTTGTGGTCTTACAGGGTGTTTCCATCGTTGTTTGGCTGGGTCTGTATCAGTGACTGTTCTTTCTTGGGAAGAATATAGAACTTTTAATATTTGTTGTCTTCAAATTTTTCCTACCTTCAAATGACTACAACCCATTGATCTCTATTCTAATAGCATGCCTTTATTTAACTCTACAATTTCCTAGCTTAAAAGGAAAAACAGAGGCCTGGAGAGATGGCTTAGCAGTACAGAGCCGGCACTGCTTGCTCCTGTAGAAGATGGGAGTTGGGTTCCTAGCAGGTACTCAGAACCATATCAGGTTGCTCACAACTGAAGCTTTGGCCTCTGTGAGCATCTATAATCACATGTGGGTGTGCGCACGCACACACACACACACACACACACACACACACACACACACCCCACACACACCATTAAAATAAATCTTAGGTGGAGCAAATGGTGGCAAATGCCTTTAATCTCAGCACTTGAAAGGCAGAAGCAGGCAGTAATCTGAATTAGAAGTTATTATGGTCTATGTAGTGATTTTCAGGCCATATATAGTAAGACTGTGACTTAAAAAATTAAAGTAAGGGGCTGTAGAGACGGCGCGGTGGTTAAGAGCACCTTTTTTGTTCTTGCAGAGGACCCAGGTTCAGTTTGTAGCTCTTACATAGTGGTTCACAAACACCTGTAACTCCAGTCTCCTCTCTGACCTCTGCAGGCACAGGGTACACATACAGTGCATATACATGCTCACAGGCAAAATATACACACCCCAAAATAGTTCTAAAAATAAAACACATCATAAAGACAAAATATATAACTGTAGATTCCTAGATTAAATTCCACTATACTTTATTGTATGTGCCACATTATTAATGATATTCGATGCTATATGGAAAACAATATATTTATTTACCAGAGAGAGAGAGTCGCACAAACCAGGAGTTAGAAGCTTGGCTGGCTTCCAGGAGAAAAGGGAGGTTCCTTTTTACTTCGCTTCCTTTTATATCTACCTGTGTCAGTTTACATGTCCCCGCCCTCATGGGCGGATAGCTTTGTGGGGTTCACTCCTACACCACAGATTTTGAGTTTGAGTTTGTATTTAATGTTATATGACATATCAAACAATGTACTCTAGTGTTAGGTTCATTCTTTATGGAACATTTGCATGTCATCCTTGAGCAGGGGCCACACTAATCTTCTCTGTATTGTTCTAATTTTAGTGTTTGTGCTGCTGAAGCGAGCACTGGCCCGAGGTTCTAAGAAAGTGGCAGCCACTTGTACACATTTACTTGTTCATTAGTTTTCATTGAGCAGTGGATTAGGCACTATGCTTATGTTTAGAGGGATACAAAAGTAATTAGGTAGACTAGAGAGAATTAAGAGATTTGAACAGATAGTGATAATGCACTAGGTGTCTTATAAATAATATGTGAACAAGAGAGTAATCTTGTCCTTTGAAGGTAACAGAAGAAGGTATGGCAGCCTTCATGAAGGGAAAACCTGTGACTGTCATCTTAAAAACTGAACATGGCAGCCAGAAATCCCAGGAATGAAAGATGGTCTTCAGAAGGGAATTCGAAAAGCAAAGGAAGGTGTATAGAAAGAGACAGAAACGGGCAGAGCTCATATGGAATTGCCAGGTAGTTCCAGTTGGCTGGAGTCAAGTGAGGGGTGTGGAAGAGAAAAAGCAGAATTAGTGGCAGTGTTGTGAAATAGCTTGTCTTTCTCTTGACCTCCTACAGTTGTTGAGTCAAGCAGTTCCTATGCCACGTGCTCCTGCCTTGAGGTACTGTGCTGCCTCAGGCCCAAAGCAATACAGAGACCACTGACTGAAATCCCTGAAAACCATGAACCCAGTTAGACTTCTTCTAAGTTATTTATCTAGGGCATTTGGTCCAGTGACAGAAATCTATCACACATTAAGGAAAGGATCAGCTAAGCATTAAGGAAATACTCAGAAGGATAAATTAGCGGGTTTTGTTGATTCAAAGGGTGGCACTGTCAAAGAGAAATTCAGGTTTCTGGCATTGATGTGTGGGCAGTAGGAAGAAGGACGCTCTCACTTCCTCTGCAGATTCCCTGTCTCAGTCAGCTGAAGTGAGCCGAATAGGCACACCAACTAGAGAAAAGGCACCTTTGTTAGCATGTGTGGGAGCCACACAGAGGAGGGCCTTACAGTTCATAGGGAAGCGAAGGTGGGGGAGATTGTAGTGTGAACTCTGGTTGTTGCTGTGTAGATCAAGTCTCTCTTCGGGTGGCAATCCTCAGAAGAAAAGGAGAGGGTTATAATTAGCTCAGTAGGCTGAGACTTTCTCATATTTTCTTTGAGTTAGCCTTCCCTGGCTAAGGGAGTTTGGGGGAGGAAATACAAGACAATTAATTGTACTTATTTTGGATGAACTTTCTTGAGTTAGATGACCAGATCTCACAGAGAACCTTCTCTCTGCTGGGAACCAGGAACAGTCGGGGAGCCTCAAAGCCTAAGGCAGCGCGCATGGGTCTATGCTCTTGTGGTCAGCCAGTCTGAGTATCATGCTGGAAGGTATGTGTGAATGTTTATAGTGACTGAAGGACATCAGAGGCACTTTTCTGTGTGAAGCCTTTCTGGTTCTACATTCTGCCCTAGTGTGGTCTCCTGAGATGCTTAGCAGGTTCAGAGTTGTGATAGCTTGTGGTTTTATTCCCTTTGTTCACTTCTTGAAGATTGCGGCCATTTCTTTTTACTTTTTTCTAGTTATACAAAATTATGTGTTTCATTATATTTACACACACACACTCACTCACACACACACACCCTTGTACTTTGTTTATATTTGCCTGCCCTTTCCTGGGCTGTTTTTATCATCCCTTCTTCAAATGCTCATACTCCATCCCAGATGTATGTTTTAAAGTTTTGAAAGAGTTACTGTGAATCTGAACTGTAAGATGTGCTTCTGATTCTGGTGATCAGTAATGTCAAACCCAGCCTCAGAGCAGTTGATTGGCTGCAGCAGAGCTGTTCCCTATACTGATTTTGCTATCAATCGTCAGCAAGGTCAAGTAGTAGCTTCACTAGGAGGATGGCATGAAGATGCTACTGACCCCTTCCTCATGGAAACAAGCCCCGGATAACAAGGACAAGAGATACGGGCTGGTGTGAAAACAGGTGCTTGCCATCAAGCTACCAGGCTCCATGACCTGAAGTTAATCCAGGAGACCCACATGGTAGAAGGAGAGGACCAACTCCTGCTGGCTGCCCTCTGACCCTCATGTTCTTTCTCTGTCTCTGTCTTTGTCTCTTTCTCTGTCTCTCTCTCTCTCTCTCACACACACACACACATACACGAGAGAGAGAGAGAGAGAGAGAGAGAGAGAGAGAGAGAGAGAGAGAGAGGCCCAGCATCTCCACATCTTGCCAACACCCACCTGATTTTATATTTCATGACTGTGTCTCACTAGATAGTCCAGGATGGCATATAGTTCAACATTGTTCTATTTCAGCTTCCTGCGTTCTGATGCGACTTGATTCTTTGTTGTTTGTTTGTTTGTGGACAGGATCTCACTGTGTAGCCTGGTAGGTCTCCATTTCCTGATCCTCCTACCTTACAAGTTTGTGCCACTATGCCTGCCTTGATTGATGTATTTGATTATAGCCATTCTGTATGTGTGAGGTCTTGTCTCATTGTAGTTTTAACATAACCATATCAAGACCTTTTCACGTACTTGCTGACTCTTATGTCTGCTCACATCTGTTCTCATTTTTGCTTGAGTTAGCAGAGGTTTCCTTATTTTTATTTTATGTGTGTTTCTGTGTACCACATACATGCCTGGTACCTGAAGAGGTCATTAGATCGCTTGGAAATATAGTTATGGATGGTTGTGAGACAATATGTAGGTGCTGGGAACCGAACCTGTGTCTTCTGTAAGAGTAACAAGTGCTCTTTAGCTGATGAGTGTATGTGCGCACTGAGAGCGTATTCTGGGGACTAGTCCTTTTCCAGAGTTATGATGCATAAACAAGTTTTCTAGTCTGTACTTTCATCATTTGCTGTGGTAGAAGCATGCTGTCTGCCTAGTGATGGTATATCTTCATTATTATGGAGGGTCCCACTCTACAGAGTTCTGGCTGATTCAGGCTCAGTAGAGCAAGGCTCTGAGGAGAATAGACCCCCCAGTGCTAGGATAGTACTAAGAGGAGGAAAGGAAATAAAAGGAAATGCCAAAATAATTATACCATAAAAGAAAGATTTATTTTATATGGATGAGTGTTTTGCTTGACGCCTGTACAACCAACAAGGACACTGGATCTCCTGGAAATAGTCTTACAGATGGCTGTGGGCTGCCATGTGGGTACTGGGAATTAAACCAATTCTGTGCAAGAACAGCAAGTGTTGTTTCAGACTGGGTCTTTCTATGTAGCCTTGACCGTCCTGGAGCTCTTCATGTAGACTAGGTTGTGACTCACAGAGATCTGCCTGTCTCTGCCTCCTGCCTCCTGGGATTAGAGGCGTGTGCCATTATACCTGGCCAGCTAGTGCTTTTTACTGCTGAGCCATCTCTCTAGTCCATACCTTCTTGATTTTGGGTTTTGTATATGTGGGGTGGGTGGGAGCAGTGCTAGGGATCAAATGCAGGGTCTCAAACTCTCTGTGCATCACTGAACTATAGCCATTTAATGAATTTCTAATTAAAAATATGTATTACACTTCATGAGTATTAACCTTATAGTTAGGGATGGTAGGAAGGAATGTGGTTATTAGAAAAGCATTGATTTGTTAAGTATATCGGTTATTCATGTGTACATGTGTGCAAACACGTATGCAGTTCCTTCCCATTAGTGCATGACTGAGATCTGTCTGCAAGGTCAGATTGTGCCTCCTGAGGAATGTTAGCCTTGTCTCTGTCCTTTGTTTAAAAAATGTAGTAGAAGGTGAATGGTTGGAGTCGAAAACAAAACTTATGCAACCTATTAGTCTTAATCATTCAAGAACCCACTTTAGAAAAGTGGGTGTCAATGGGGGCAGAAGTCCAATCTCTTTAGTAACAGAATTTGAGAGCAGAGGACAAGGAGAACGATAAAACATACTATACTAATTAGACTGCATTTTTATGTACTCTGAATGAGTAGTCAGTTGTCTTAGTTTGGTGTCTGTTGCTGTGATAAATAGCATAACCAAAAACAAGGTGGGAAAGGGAAGGGTTTATTTAGCTTACAGGATACTGTCCACCATTGAGGGAAGCCAAAGCTCTGATATTCAAGGTAGGAACCTGGAGGCAGAAACTGAGGCACACCACAAGGCAATGCTACTTACTGGCTTGGTTCCAGCCTCACAGTGGGCTGTCTTTTCTAATGCCCATGATTACCTGTCCAAGGAGAGCACTGCCCACAGTGGGCTGAGCTCTTCTACCTAGATTAGCAATCCGGGGAATGCTCCACAGACATTATCACAGGCTTAGACCCAATTTCTCAATGAGGTGCCCTCTTCTCAAGTATTTTGCCAGGCAAAATTAACCATCCCATTTGCCATTTAAATATTCTTTTCATAAATAGTTGGGCTAGAGCCTTCTCTGAATATTTTTGGCAGAACAGTCTATATCAGTAGAAGTGTTTCTTGGTATTGCATGCAAACTTTTCTGTAATAAAAGAAAACATGGGCCGGGCGTTGGTGGCGCACGCCTTTAATTCCAGCACTCGGGAGGCAGAGACGGGTGGATCTTTGTGAGTTCGAGGCCAGCCTGGCCTACAAAGCGAGTTCCAGGACAGCTTCCAAGACTGTCTCGAAAAAAAAAAAAAAAGAAAAAGAAAAAGAAAAAAGAAAACACGGAAGAGACAAATACAAGGAAACTGCGAGATTAGTGGTTACCGTCACAGCCATCTGTAATCCCAGCACTCAGGAAGTAAAGGCAAGAGGGTCAGGAGTTTAAGTTCAGTCTCTGCCACACAACAACTTTGAGTCCAGCCAGTTAATTACATTGGGTGTGTGTTTAGCAAGGAATGTTGGCAAGATGTGTCAAGGTTACAACAGAAGTTGAAAATGATGCACTATTTTAATACAATAATTTCTAATTTTATATAGCGTGTGTGTGTGTGTGTGTGTGTGTGTGTGTACACATGTGTGTATTTGTCTATGGAGACCCAAGATGTCAGATGTCTTTCTTAATTGCTCTTCACCTATCTGGGGGAATGGTCTTTCACTGAACCTGCTTTGTGCTAAGTATTATAGCTAGACAGGTTCCATGGAGCCGTCTGCCTGTCCTGTGATACAAAGATACAGTACTTTATAGGTTAATAATTGGAACTCTGGATTTTTTTTTCAGTTCACTCCATTTTCAGGTGTATTGCAGAGGATCAAACCCAGGGCCTCAAGCATGCTAGGCAAGCACTCTTATATTGAGCGTAAGCCCCACCCTCAACTCCTCCAGTGATCAACTTTCAATGTCTGCAGTCAGTCTTCTGCTCTTAGTGTATATGTTTTCTATATTTATCCCTATGGTTACAACTAATGTTTGTGATATAATGATCTCAACAGCAATTTTTTCATGAATATGAAAATAAGTATTCCCCCACCCCCCGGATTTCTAACTTACATGGACACAGACATGACTACAATTCAAACAAGAAATTTCCAGGAATGGATGAGTGACTCAGTGGTTAAGAGTGTTTGCTGGTCTTTTAGAGAACATGGTAGCTTACCACTATTTCTTGACAGTTCCAGGCGATCCAATGCCATTTTCTGTCCTCCAGTGGCTCCTACATCTGCTTGATTCACACATGCTCACATATAACACATTAAAATAAGCAAGTAAATACATACATATATGCCCAGATTCTGGGGGTCTGAGTATGTAAACTCCTTGGCAGAACTCTTACCTAGCATGTGCAGTATCTCTTAGATCAGTCCTTAGTACTGTAATAAACAAATAGAATTCAGAGTCTAAACACATTGAAGAACATTTAGAACAAAATCTAAACGTATTGAGGTGTGGTTGTGCCTATATTTCATGACCTCAGGAGGCTGACAGAGGAATATGAACATATACATCTAAACATACTGAGGTGTGATTGTGCCTGTAATCCCTGACCTCAGGAGACTGAGATAGGAAGACTGTGAGTTGTGGCCAGCCTGGGCTATGACAAAACCCTATCTCAAAATGAAGCAAAATAAATTGACATGAATATTTAAGAATGATTACCCGGTTTACTCATTCATTCACTTACCTATGCTTAGGTAAGTGAATAAAAGGACTCTAAAGTATGTACAGAATACAAGCAGTCACACATTTGAAATATCATTAAAATGTATTCTCCCAGAGAGTTGACTCATTTTAAAACTGCATTTATTTTATATATTTGTTTTGACATGGAACCATGTGAAAACGAATTCAAGAACTAAGAAAGGGCTTGGGTGTAGTTCAGTGGTAGAGCACTTGCCTAGCACGCTGAAGGCACCCCTGTTTGGATACGTAACACCTCAAAAAGTTAAACAAGATGAAGAACTAAGATAACACCCTGAACTGTCACAGTGCTAAGAAGACCTGCTAGGATGGCACATCATTTCCGCATAGAGGAGGTTACTTCTGAGAGACACGGCTTTAACACATCCCCCTCCCAGTGGCGGTCTGTTAATGAATGACTAGTGGATTGCCATGGTGACGGTTTATGCATTTCCTTGCCCAGTAGTTCTTGAGGCAGCACAAAATAACTGCCTCTGTGCTGCCAGCGCTGGAAAGAATGCAAACAACAGAGCAACAAGAATAGAAAAAATCTTTACAAAATGGAGCCTGGCATTTTTCCTTTTCATAGTAGCAGAAATTGCTCTTTAGTTTTAATGTGTGTGTGTGTGTGTGTGTGTGTGTGTGTGTGTGTGTATGTGTGTGTGTGTACTCATAGGTGTTTTCTTTGCAGGATATGACATTTCCATGTTTAACCTTTGATGCTGATTGATTGATTGATTGATTGATTGATTGATTGATTGGGGGATCTCAATACGTAGTCCTTGCTGGCCTGGAACTCACTGCGTAGACTTGACTGGCCTCAATCTTGCAGAGATATATCTATCTCTAAGTACTAAGATTTAAAGTGTGTGTCCCCCAACCCCATTCCTGATTTTTCTCAGCTACTTCTGTATCATGATTTATCATCTTATTTAATTCCCCATGTTTGCTTTTGAGGTATTATGTAGTATGGATTGTGTGCTTATAGAAAACATAGGATCAGGGCTAAAATGCATGTCTAACCAGCTTGTAGCTGAGCCCATATTTTATGAATTCATGATTTCTCAATGTACTCTTTATCTTCAGGATGAAGATACAGGGATGAAAAGCAAAGTTCATCATATTGCCAAGGAGATCATGAGCTCAGAGAAAGTGTAGGTATCAAGTTAGCAGTTCAGAAGCTGTTCTTCCCAGTTGGCTTATTAAAACATTTTTATTGCTTTTTTTTACAGGTTTGTGGATGTGTTAAAACTTTTGCATATTGTAAGTATCTACTAATATTTTTCAAAAATCTAAAATTGTTCCCAGTCCTGCCCTTTTCCTACCCTAAAGGTTCTTAGCACAGCTAACAAGTAAATTATACCTATGTGTTCTCTAATGCTTCGTTGTAGGCAGAGTTTCTCTGTGTCTTGGCAGGCATTTCCCAAATAACCACTCAGAGTCTTAATATTAATTGTAAATGCTTGGCCAATAGCTCAGGCTTATTACTAACTAGTTCTTACAAATTAAGTCTACCTATTTCAATTAATCTATGTTTTGCCATGTGGCTCGTGGCTTTACCTATCCTCCAGTGTGTCTTGTTCACTTTGAGTCTCCTGGCGACTCCTCTGACTCTGCCTTTCTTCATCCCAGCATCCTTAGTTTGGTTAACCCTCCTATATTTCTTGCCTAGATATCAGATATTTTGGTTTTTATTAAACCAATTCGGGTGGCAAATCTTTACAGTGTACAAAAGGATTATTCCACAGCACTTGGTTATATTTTAAATTTATAATAGTTCTTTATATACTTGTATATCTATGAATTTATATATATATATATATTAGACATTTTACAAGTTGTATCTCATTTACATCCAGATATACCGAGATGGTTTCTGAAAACATGTCTTCAGCAGTTTCCATCTATTCATAATAAATGAGCTGTGACAGCTGCTGCTGCTGCTTCCTCCTTTTCCCCTTCCTCTTTTTCCTCTTTTTGCTCCACTTCCTCCTTTTCCTAGTTTTCCTCCCCTTCTTCCTCTTCTCTCTCTTTTTTTTCACCCAAACTATACCCCCAGCACCCTTAATGATGACGTATCTTTTGGGGGTATTTCTTCTCTAAACAGTTCCCAGAAACACAGACACTTGAGATAGCCATTTTTATAGCTAACTTTTAAAGTAATTGTCAGTTTGAGCAGACCTGTTAGGAAATAGGTACCTGTACGTTTCTGGCTACATTTCTCTTCTTTTGTCCTTGTAAGTTTTTACAAGATTCCATATACATTGGCAGTTAAAGTGCTTTTAGTGTTACTCTGTTTTGTTTTGTTTTGTTTTTTGTTTTTGTTTTTGGTTTTTGGTTTTACGAGACAGGGTTTCTCTGTACTGTTTTGGAGGCTTCTGTTTTGGTTTTATTTTGGCAGTATATCCTAAATATCCATCGCATGTATACCACTAAGTGCTCAAGTCCAATAGCTCTTTTAGCTAAAGACATACCTTCCCTGGGGAATTTGGTAGTGTGTGTCTGTCTCTGCTTGCCTGTCTTCCTCTCTCTCTTCCTGTTTCTGTTATTCCTCTAGCCCTCTCCTTCCCTCATTCTCTTACCCTCTTTCACCACCTCTGTCTTTCTCCCCCCTTCTCTTTGAAATAGTCCATCCCTGCCTCAGCCTCCAGACTGCCAACTACAGTGTTGAGTCACCACACCGGACAGCAATCTGATAGGATAATTCTAGTTTCATTCTGTTGTTGTGATAAAACACTGGGAGCAAAAGCAGCGTGGCGAGGAAAGGGTTTCTTTGGCCTACACTTCTAGTTTAAAGTCCATCACTGGGGGAAGTCAGGGCAGGATCTCCAGGTAGGACCCATGGAGGAACATGGTTTACTTGCTCCCAATCCAGCTCATGTTCAGCTAGCTTTCTTCTGCAACCCACACCCACTTGCCTAGGGATGGTGCTGCCCATGGTAGGCTTCACCTTCTTCAGTCAATCATGAGGCAAGACATGGCCACTGGCCAACTGATCAGGCAGTCCCTTAATGAAGGTTTCTTTGTCCCAGGTGACTCTAGGTTGTGTCAAGTTGACAACAAAGCTAACCAGCACAGAGACTCTCAATAAACCCAGGAAGCTGGACACAAGGCCATCTAGACATGCTGATATCTAAACCCAGGAAACTAAGCCCAAGACCCCCTGGTTATACTGTTATCTAACCCAGGAAGCTAGACCCAAGCCCCTCTGCTCATACTGATATCTAATGCCAAATAGAATGTAGGGTTCTTGTTTTTTGTTTTTTCAAGACAGTTTCTCTGTGTAGCACTGACAGTCCGGGATCCTGCTCTGTAGACCATGCTGGCCTTGAGATCCACCTGTCTCTGCCTCCTGAGTGCTGGGATTAAAAATGTGTACCACCACCCCCCAGCTTCATTTATTTTTTTAAGTACATCATAAAATGAATATGTTTCCCCAACTCTCATGTTTTTTCCCATCTTAAAATCGTCATTCTGTCCGAAGTCATTGTCTTGTGAGTTGTGGACTTTTTAATTATCAGTTGCTTTGTCCTCTCTTTAGTTCCTGTTAACGTAGTTACTACCTTCAGTGTTGAGCAGTTCTATTCATATTAAGACTCATATATGAAGTTCATTATTAAGGGCATATTTGTCTTGCTTTTGTCTTTCCTGCCTTAGTTTGTCATCTCCTTTCTCTCTGTGGCCATGTTTCAGATCCTTGCTTCCAAAGACTTGTGGGTATTAAGTGATGTTCATGTGATTATTTAAATTACCAAATTTTGTTGTCGTTGTTTTTTTCGGGACAGGGTTTCTCAGTGTAACAGCCCTAGCTGTCCTGGAACTAGCTCTGTAGACCAGGCTAGCCTCTAATTCACAGAGATCTGCCTGCCTCTGCCCCCCAAGTGCTGGGATTCAAGGCATGCCCTCCTAAATTACTAAATCTTTTTAAGTAAATGGTCTTTTAACGAGTGTTCTTTATGTACCTTTTAGTGTATTATATAAGTACATTATACAATTTTTTTATTTTTGACCTAAAGCAGTTTTTTTTCTTTTGTTTATTTTAAATGAAAAAAGTAGCCAGCTATTAAATGTCAAAGCCAGACTTTGGAGTCTGGTCTATGTGAGTTCTTGGTGTAAAAATTTTAAATGTTTGCTTGTAATCCTAGCCATTGCTATTTATAGCTTATCTGTAGGATGTAGTGCATCCTTGGGCATATTTGTTGCTTACAGAATTCTTTTCAGCTGCCTAGGAAACCAGAGAAGCTGGATCTTGTTACTTAGATTTCTTATGAATATTACATATTAATGTTATTAAAGAGGGTTGGAAACATGCCATAAACAGTTGGTTTCAATTATGTTTTGCATTGAATGCATTGATGATTATGCACAGCCGGACTTGTGCATACAGAAAAGGAGGGATCATTTCACCTGAAAAAATATTTTCATTTTAAAAACAAAGTCAACAGAGCACGACGGTACACCCCCATAATCCTAGCACGGGGGAGACTGAAGCATGCAGATCATGAGTTTAAGGCCATTGAGGGTTATATAACAAGACTTTGCCTCAGCAAACTAAAGTCATATTGTTGAGATGGGGACTTCCCGGTTGCTTCACACTCTCCCTTTTAGTTTTGCATATGTATCATAAGCCTTTGACCACTGCAGCTGCTTTGCTTTTCCTTAAATGATTTTTACTTACCATGAGCTCCCTGTCTGTGCCTGTGTCCATGTGTGCTTTGTAATTCACAGGCTCACATAATGGTTAAACAATGCCTCAAGGTCAAGCCTGCTGCTTGGGACAGCTGGTAATGAAGTCACACACCCCTCTGGTTCTGGAGATGGGAAGCCTGCCTCTATAGACAGGGCCATCTGCTCTGGGCTTTGGTGCTTTGGACATTCAGACTAGATCTTATTTGCATTGATTTTTGCTCAGTTCTTCCCCAGGTGATCAGAGCTGACAGAGTGGGCATGTTTGTATTGTAAAGAGTTGGAGCTATTCTGGTTCTTGCGTATGGTGTGTTGGGGGAAATGTTAAGACTAATACTGTGATATGCTTTATTTAGATCTCTAAAAAGTCCAACTTGAACATGCATTTAGTGAATATCATAGGTGATTTGACTTTGGTAGGTTTTTGTTAGAATTAGTGTTATGTGTAGTTGATGTTAGTAATGTCTGGAGTTTGTCTAATCCTTTATACCACCTCCCCTCCTCCCTTATCTAATTATGCAGTCCCTGTCTCTCCACCCTACTCTCCTCTCCAGTGCTGGTTTTCCTTTTTCTTTTCTTTCTTTCTTTTTTTGTTTTGTCTTGTTTTTTTCAAGACAGGGTTTGTCTGTATAGCTTTGGGACCTGTGTCCTGGAACTCACTTTGTAGACCAGGCTGGCCTGGAACTCACAGAAATCTGCCAGGCTCTGCCTCCTGGGTGCCTGAACCAAAGGTGTGTGCCACCACCACCCAGCCCAGTGCTGGTTTTCCAACCCTAGGGCCTCACACTAGGATGTAAGCCAATGCTCTTCCACTGTGCTACACAGCCAGGCCTGGTAACCAGGAGCCAGAATGCAGAAACAAGCTGTGGCCTCATCGCTGAAGCCCCAGTGCTCACTTGCATCTGCATGGGCGTAGTTAAAAGAGTTTTGGCAAATTTAGATGCTTCTGCCCAAAATAGTTTTGTGGCTCTTAAAGATCATCACGCTTTCCCAAATTATTTTGGCTTTTGGGATTCAGGAAAATAACTGAGCACATTGTTGTCATCATCTTTTTTATTTAAAAAAGAAAAGAGTTGTGACCTCCTTCCAGTGGTACCACTTAGGCAGTGACTGAGGTTTGTGAGTCGCTGAGAAGTTTAAGATTATCTGTGGTTCCTGTGGAACTGGCTGCATCTAGCTCTGGGATCAGAGTGCATTGCTTTTGGGGATGGAGCCAAAGAAGAGAAAGGGATACAGGTGAGGCCACCCTGCTCTGTGGAGGCAGTTATGTTGGCTGTTCAGTTACCTGCTGGGACTCAGGCCTTCTGTCTTAGCCTGGAGGTAGGGATGCCCTTTTTGGAGCTGACTGTTAGGGATTTAACCTAGAATTTTGTGTTATACGCTAAGCTGTGCTCCCAGCTGGCAACACTCATGTTCAGAGAGCCGCCAAGAGACCTGTGATAGCCCCAGGTGAAAATATTTAGTGACATTTAAAACAAATTTACACTTTGTTTTTTGAGTCAGGGTCTTTCTATAATGTAGCTCTGGCTGTCAGGAGTTCTTTTTGTAAACTAGGACAGTCTCATACTCAAAGATCC